TATGCGAATTGTATAATTCACCAGAATACGAAATTTTCAAAAATAACATCTAGGAAAACTTTATAAATAAAATAACAGGTAAAGAGGAAAAAGCTTATGAATTTAGAACAAAAACAATTTGAAGAATGGAAGCGTCGTCATGGAAAGCTAAATGAAGGTTTCCTAGACGGTGAAGAAGAAGCAAGTGCTGATGTACCATCAGAAGAAACAACAGAAGAAACCAGTGAAGAATCAGAAGGTAATATAGTTGGTTCTGACGAAGGTTCTTCAGAAGAATCTGATGTTGACATTTCAGAAGAACCATCTGAAGAAGGTGATTCCGAAGAAGGTGACGATGATTTCTCTGAAGATGAAGGTTCTGAAGAAGGTACAGAAAGTATGGATGACTTTGGCGGTGATGATAATAAGGAAGATGGAACATCTGAAGACTCTAATGATACATCTGAATTAAAGGACGTCATGACTAGTTTGACTACTGCAGTACAAGCTTTAACAGATAAGATTGAAACTATGAATGCAGATAAAGGTTCAGAAGGTGGCGAAGATGTTCCTGCCGAAGAAGCTCCAGTAGAAGAAGGTGGAGATGATGCATTTGGTGATGAAGGTGGTGAAGAAACTATTGAAGAAGCACCAGCAGAAGGCGACAATGCAGAAGGCGGAGATACTTCATCCGAAGGTGGTGAAGGTGAGTCAACAGAAGGTGGAGAAGGAGAATCTACTGAAGGTGGTGATGAAAATGCAGAATCATCTGAAGGTGGAGATAATAATGAAGCTCCTGCTGATGAAACTAAGTCTGAAGCATTCAATTTCTATCATAGAAAGGGTTCTTATTTAGATGAAAATAGTGATTATATTATTGGTAAACTATATGAAAATCGCTATGATAAGTTAGAAGAACCAATTATGGTATTAGTTAAGGCAAAGATTAGACAACAGATTGAAGCCTATAAGAAAGAATTAAGAATGGCTGCAATCGACAAAAGATTAAGTAAATAACTAATCATCTCTTTACGTTATTTAGACCGTTATCTAATAGATAACGGTCTTTTGTTTTATAAATAAAACATAGGAGATTATTATTTATGAACTTATATGAAGCAATTGATGAATTAAAAGACCATGGCTATTTGTTAACTGAATGGAAGATTACTTCTGATTTTGATGAATTATCTAAAGCAGATAAAGAATCATTAACAAAGGCTATGAATGGTGCATATACTGCACGTAAATCTGGTAATAAGAAGAATTTAGCTAAGTATTCAGCAATACTTAAAGAATTACTTAAAAAGTTATCAAATCCTAAGGCTATTAAAGCAGTTAATAAGATGTTAGGTAAGATGGATGATAAGATGGGTGGTGCAACTACTACATCAACATCAACTACAACTCCTGATACATCTGCATCTGGTAGGCTTGCTAGTTACGTATCTAGTAAGAAGTATATAACTAAAGAAGATGTAATAGCATTCTTAGACAAATTAGTAAAAGCAGGATATATTAAAAAAGAAGATGCAATAGTATATAGTTGGACATCTAAAGGTAAAGAATTTACTGGCAAAAAGTTTGGTAGTAGATGGAACGTAATATTTACGGCTGGTAAAGATTTATGGATCCCATATAATTTTGATGAACCTGATTCAGATTGGTATTTTTGTAGTTATGATAAGATAACTACAAGCGATTTTGAAAAATATAAAGCTTATTTTGATGTTGAAACAACAGGAGAAACATCTGTAGAAACAGATACTGCACCAACTACAATAAGAGATCCAAAAACTGTTAATGCTTTATGTACTATATTTAGACTCTTTATTAGAGCATTAGAACAACATAAATGGATTGAATATGTTCCAGAAACTAGTTCATGGATATGGACATCTGGTGGTAAGATGTTAACTAAGCGTAAATGGGGTAGTGCATGGACCACATATATTAATAAAGTTAAAGAAAAATATACTATAGATCCAGAATCACATGTTTGGGTTCAAAAAACTGCAGATACAAGAGATTGGGGTTATGTAGCTATAAAAGACGTAACTAAATTAGAAATTGAAAATACAGTAAAAGGATTTAATTTAAAGACTGTATATAAAACTTCTGGTGTATTACGTTATTTGACAGATAAGAGATTAGCAGGTACTCCAGCTCCAACAGCAACAACAGCTAGTATTCCACAGTTATTATATGCTTTCTATAAAAAAATGTTAGATTTAGATTATATAGATTCTGAATTTAGATTTACTTCTGCTGGTCATGATTTAACAGGACGTAAAATAGGTACAACTTGGTCTGAAGCAGCTCGCGGTTTAAAATTTTCTGATTATGATAGTTTTGAAACTGATTTGATAGATGAACGTATACTTCCATGGTTACCTGCAGTAGGTTCAAATGGTAAAAGACCTGGTGATTGGCATTATTGTTATTATACAGATAAAAAACAACCAATTCAATTATCACAGGTTAAAGCCGCAATTGCTATATTTGATATTAAAATTGATGGTATACCAACAAGTTCTGTAAGTTCAACAAGAGAAACTAAACCTGCAGAACCTGCAAAACCAAAAGATTTAGAATTACCAGCAACAATGGAATTTATACAGTATCACTTTATGATTTCCATGACCATTGAAGATTCAGATGATTCAGATAAGATGGATCCAAATATAGAAAAAGCATTGGATGCATGTACAAAGATTGAAAATATGTTGGAAATATTGAATAAGAGATATGCACCATATGGATTGAAGTGTACATGTGATTGGGATAATGATGATGCACATTATTTCTATGGTAAATATTGGCAGGTAAATTCAGGTACATTATCATCAGGTACTTCTGTTGGACAGTATTTTGATAAATATGCAAAATTACCAGAAGAATATAAACATGCTGAAGAATTATTTAAATCTAATGCATTGAATCCATCTATGAATAATAGAATCATTGATAATAAAGTTGAAAAGTTAAGAAACTATAAAGCACATAGGATTGATTAATGAAAATTGATTGGAAACAATTTGATGAAGAAGTATTAAAGGGTGTTGATTTGTGTAAACAAATCAATTCCTTTGGATATGAAGCATATATTGTTGGCGGATGTGTTAGAGATATAGTATTATGGTATAAGGATGGCCAAAAAGGTGACCCTTCTATTCATGATGTAGATATAGCTACAAATATGCCAATAGATGAATTATATTCAAATTTCAAATGTGAATCTAATAATGGTGAAGCTCATGGTACTATATTAGTTAAAAATAAGGGTATTGCATTTGAAGTAACTCAATTTAGAGTAGATGGTGAATATACAGATGGTCGCCATCCAGATAGTGTAAAGTTTACTAAATCATTTAAAGATGATACTAGTAGAAGAGATTTTACTATAAATGCTATGGGTATTGATGCTGATGGTAATTTGATAGACTATCATGGAGGAGAACAGGATTTAGATAATAAGGTATTAAGAACTGTAGGATCTGCACAAGATAGATTTTCAGAAGATGCATTGAGAATAGTTAGAGCTATTAGATTTGCTGCTAGATTTGATATGAATATAGATGAAGATACATATGAAGCTATATGTAATTTAAAAGGAAACATTAAAGGTTTAGCAATGGAACGTATATGTGCTGAATTACAAAAATCAGCAGAATATGGAATTAAACCATTTGCAAATGTAATAAATGTATTAGTAAAATCTGGTGCATGTGATTCTATTGATGATCAATATATTCGTTGGAATGATTGTAGAAATATAGTTATTGATAGAGCTAAAAATCCAGGTGATACTTCATTAAATAAAGATCCAATGACAGCTATGGCTATAGTATTGATGTCAAGTAATAATATAATGGCAGCTGGTAAAAAATTAAGATTAGATACAGATACGATTAAATTGGCACAATTTACTGATGAAAATATGCAAAGATTAGATAATTTATCTTATAATTTGTCTGCATCTGTAAAAATGGTAACATCTAAGTATTTTAATAGATTTTTAGAAGTAGCAAAAGCTTATGGATATGAAGCAAGTGATTCTGAATTAAGTGCTATAGAAGACTTAGTTGATAATATATTACCAAAGCAAAAAGAAATTAGTGCACAATTATCTAAAGAAGGTTATAAAGGACCAGAATTTGGTAAAGAATTATCTAAAAGAATGGAACAGCTATATAAACAAGCATATAGAGGAGTATAAACATGAATTTAAAAGAAGCTATGCAGATCATGCAAAATAATGGATATATCATGGAAAAAGCAAGTAAAGATTTGCAAGATCATATCAATTATTTAGTAGATGCTGTAGAAAAATTAGGATGTAATGTTTCATTTGGATTAACAGCTGCTGGAAAAAAATCAATTTCAAATAAATTTTATAATCCATATCATGGACATAAAAGTAGTACAACCAATCCATCACATTCAAGAAAAACATTTAAAGATAAAATGTATGTATATATTGGTGAACAAGAATTAGGTTGGTTTGGCATTGATGCTAAAGGTAATTATAATTATGCTGCATGGGTATATCAAGTAAATTCATATACTACAGAAACAGAATGTGTTGTTTCATTAGAAAGTGATAGTAGTACTAGACAAAGATATAATTCTCCAGAAGAATGGATAGATGCTATTGAAAGATGTGTGAATTCATTAGAAACATTCCAAAATGTTTCAAGAAAAGTATCACAAATAATTAAGTTAGGTCATGTAGATTAATTAAATTTAGAATGATTATAGATAAAGTGGAGACTAAAATCTCCACTTTTTTGTATATTATAAAAGAGGTGAATATGAAAATAGCAGGGTTAGATCTTTCAATAATTAGTTCTGGATGTGTAGTAATGGAACTAGATGATAAATTTAATGTTATTAATATAGAAAGACATGGATTTTGTAAAACATTAAAACAACAGAAAAAATCACCAGATATGGTATATTATAATTTGGAAGATTTCAATAATTTTTATGAGAGATATGAATTCTTTAATAATCATTTAATGGAATGGTGTAAAGATTGTGATTATATCGCAGTTGAAGATTATGCTTATGATGCAAAAGGATTTGTATTTGATTTGGCAGAATTTGAAGGTAATATTAAGATGAATTTATGGAGAAGAGGTAAAACTTTGAGGTTTTATCCTCCAGGAACTCATAAGAAATTTTTTACAGGTCATGGTGATTGTCATAAATTATTACCTTATGAAACATATTTGAAATATACTGGAGTAAAGTTTGATATATCAGATTTACCTCCAGTTGTAGATGATAAGAAAGGATCTATGCCAACTAGTGATATATTGGATGCATATGCATTATGTGAATTATTACGTCATGAATTGATCGTCAAGAATAACAAGAAAGCGCTGTCTGGGTTAACTAAAAAACAGGCTGAAGTATTTACGACTAAGAGTAAAACATCGCCCAAAGGCTTAATAGAACTACCTTGGGATATAAAGGGAGCATCTTAGCTCCCTTTTTTAATCTTATAAATAAAATGGAGGATTCTCTATGATAGATAAGATTTTTTTGGATATGGATGGAGTTATAGTTGATTTTAGAGGTCAATGTGAAAAATATAACTGTATACAAGGTACAAATGTAGATTGGAAAATAGTACATGAAGGTGGTTCAGATTTCTGGGCTAACATGGAATGGACTACATTTGGAAGTATATCTGGACAAACATTTTATAAATGGTTGGCAAGATTCTGTAAAGAAGAAGAAATAGAATTATATATTTTATCAGCAGTAAATTTCAATGATGGTAAAATAGGTAAAATTGATTGGTTAAAGAAGAATACAAATTTTGATTTACATCATGTAATAATTACACCAACAGGTGCAAGTAAAGCATTATATGCTGATGAAACTTCAGTATTAATCGATGACTGGATTAAGAATAAAGGTCCATGGGAATCAAAGAAAGGTAAGTTTATACAATTCCAGAATCCAGCACAAGCAAAACAAGATTTATTAACATTATACGCTAAAGAAGGTAAATAATGCCTACAGATTATGCTTCAGAAATGGCTAAAATATTTGGTGGCCATTGTGATGTTACTAATAAAGATTGGAATGCAGATAGATATTTTGATAGCACAGCAGATTGTTATGCTAGTGAAACTGCATTAATGGAATCTTTAACATCTGAAGCATATAATACTTATGGAATTAAAGTACAGTATTTTGTTAAAAATGTAGATATAAAAAGAGATCCTTTATGGTGTGAAGATCCATTAGAAAACATTGTACGTAGATTTGAATTAAATGTATATGCAGAAAGTATACCAACAATGCAGAAACAATATGATTTGCAAGGTATGATATATACAGAAGTAATTACATTACAATGTACTATAGCACATTTTGATGATGCCAGTAGAATAGATTTTGAAACTGGAGAATCAAGTTATGAACCATATATACCTAAGATTGGTGATATAATGTATATGTACTATAGTGGAATGTACTATGAAGTAATAAATGTAAAACCATTTGCAGAAGGAAGTACATTTTTAGGAAAACCAATAACATATACCTTTTCATTGAGAGTATGGAGAAATGATCATCAGACAGTAGATGCATTCCATGAAAATAAAGATACAATGGAAGATATAAGAAGTTATGCAGAATTAGGTGAAACGTTTAATATAGGTGTAGAAACTGAGACACATGAACAAACATATAATGTAAGTCATGAATCTGATATGTTATCAATAAATCAGAGTGTAAAAGAAGATGTTGATAAGAATAAAGTACCTATGGATAATGTACCAAGTCATGTGGAATATAAACCAAAAGTAAAATTGGAAGAACAAACAGAAATAGATCCATTTGCTGGATGGTAGTTATAAATACTATAATAGAGGAAAAGTTTATGACACAATTTGATACAGATATATATGATATTATAAAATCACAATTTGTCTTCACTAATGAAGGTAGAAGATTATTAATTAACCAAGAAGGTGGTGTAAAATTTGCTATTCTTGGTTATATGATTGTACAAGGTATTGATCCAAAAATAGATTTATTTAAATATATCGAAGATCATCCAGACATGAATCTTAAAGACATGGTTGAGAAAAAACAGGAATATGGTAATTTAACATTTATAATGAGAGATGTTAATTACAAATCTACTGGTAAAAATTCAATTATGCCTAAACAAGAAGCTTTATATAATGAAGCTTTGGAAAATTGGACTGACCATTTATTTGGTATATATTATGTACCAACAAATGAATTCATGGTTAGAAAAGTTACTAAAACAGTAGCTGGTGAACCAATAGAACAAAGAGTTCCATATGGAATGTATAGATTCAATTTTGATAGTACATATTTATCATGTAAAATAACATCTGATATTAATTTTTCTCATATTCTTTTATTTGGTAAACAATATGCAGAAACTGATGATGCTACATTTAATATAGACGATGTACAAGATGGTGCTATTGTAGCAATTGCTAAATTTGATGGTGCTGTTGAAAAAGAATCAGGTACATTTGAAGGTGGCGTACAGATTTTAGCTAATCAAAATAAATATGTATCTTTCCAAACACAGTTAAGAATGACTGTTAGAGAAGATGAATATTTAAATAAAGAAGATGATCCAATTGTTGAAATTGATGAAGAAATCTTAGAAAATTCTAAGAAATTACATTTAGTAAACAATGGTGTTAAAACATTATCTGGTGGTGTAGCTATCGGATATGATAAAGAAGTATTAGAAGAATTAGAACTTGATAAAGATGGTGCAATTGCATTAGATAAATCTTTGATGGTAGCTGACTGTATTGATGCAGATGATGCAGAAAACCAATTTAATGGTACTGGATTAGTACATGCTATCAATAAGTATCAAGAAAACGCTAAACATAAACGTTATATTCCTCAATATGTATTGACATCAGTTAAAGCTACATCAGCATTAGAAGAAGATATAATTGCATATACTGTTGGTATGCAATTACGTTGTGAAGGTATGTTATCATACTATAATGCAACACCTGAAGTATCAGATGTAGATTCTCCAGTGTTTATTTTAGGTCATTTACCACAAAATGATTATACTGTAGTTGATATTTTTGGTAAAGATAATAAGAATAATAATAAAAACTGGGATAGATATTTATTCTCTAATGATAATTCAGCAACACAACCAAGTAATGGAATGCCTAACGTTATTATTAATTCTGATAATAACTTATTCTTACGTGGTGGTTCAAATAATGATAACAGCTTCTATAATTCAAATTATAATACTTTACGTGGTGGCTCTTATAACAATACATTATTTGAATCTGATTTTAACAAAATAGATAATGGTTTTGGCGAAGGTTTATTACTACATTCTAACTACAACACATTAGAAAATGTTGTAGGTACAATGATGTATAATTCTGATAATAACTTTATTTCAGGTGCAGCTAATTATAATACATTATTTAACTCACATGTTAATAGTGCTAAAGATGCCGCAGAACATAATATCTTATTTAACTCTAATGAGAATATATTCTCTGCAGATAGTAGATATAATACTTTATATAATTCTACAAATAACCAGTATAGATATGGTGCACATAATAACGTTACTTTTGATTCATATAGAAATGAATATTGGAATGCTCAGAATTCATTAGTAACACATTCTACTTGGAATAAAATATGGCAATCTAATAGAGATACAATTTATAATACTAATTTATCTCATTTCCAAGAAGATGCATCAAATAAGATTTATGACTCTACAAGAATGTCAGCTTATTCTGCTGAAAATAACAGTGTATATCATGGTAGACATTTTGGTTTATTCCCAGTATCAGCTACATCTATTAATTCAAATGAAAGACCATTAGCTTCAGACTTCATGTCTAATAACAATATGGTATTTGATGTATCATACTTTAGTTTGTATGGTTCTTCAGATAATATGATTTTAGGCTCATATGGATTACGTGGTTCTGACTCAGTATTAGACCCAGGACCAGTAAGAGTTAAAGGTTCTAGTATTATAGGTTCTGATGGTGCTAAATTACAGAACGTACGTGAAGTTTATATGTGGAACTCTGATTATTCAAGAGCTTTCGGTGGTTCACATTATTCTGATGATGCTATTGGATTAGTTGGTACTTCTTGGTCATTAACAAATTATACTATTTCTCAAATTGATAGTATCATGACTGGAGCTCATTCCGGTGGTTCTGGTCTATCAGGTACTTCTTATAAAGAAGGCGCAGAATCAATATCAAATAACTGTCGTCCAGCTGATATGTTGAGATTAAAAACTCAATTTATCAATACCTATGGTTCTGAATTAAATCTTTATGATTGGAATCCAGCTGAACATAAGAATGCTAATTTACCATATTATCCAGGTGCTGCATTTGAATATCAAAATAATACTTTAATGGCTGATAGTATTAGACCAAATAACTCTGTTATTCTTGGTGGTAACCATAATAAAATGGTTGGTGGCCAGAATGTAGTATTCTTAGGAGGTGAATATACAAAAGCATCATCTAAGGAACATCAGATTTTGATGGGTAAATATAATAGAGATACTCCAGCTGATATTATTTTCGGTTGTGGCCACTTTAATGGTCAGACTTTTACTCAAGGTAATAAAGAATACCATGCTTCAGAATTAAAAACTATTGAAACATTAGATGGTACTATTGATAATGTACGTAATGCATCTACATTGATAAATGCTATGGAATTCTATGCTCACCAAGGTAAGATGATACTACGTAACTGCGATGATGGTGAAGATAGAGGCGGTGGTGCTGTAAGTAAAGACTATGGTAAGACTGTAGAAGTTTCTCCAACTGGATTTACTTTCAGAGCTAGAAATAATGAAGTAATTGGAACATTAAATCCAGAATCATTTAAATCATCTCAACCAACAAACGTTTATATTGAGTGGGATGATGTAAAACATGTATATTATGTAAGTAATATTACTGGTCCTAATTTGAAACTTATTCAGAAGTTTAAATCTATAGGTGGCCAGAAAATGTTTGATATGTTCTTCTGGACTGGTGTAAGTACTACAACTAATGCTATGAAATATATATTGAAATGTTCAACAGATAATAAAACTTTTACAATAGAACCACCTGTAGGTGCACCAAGAACATATAGTCCAATTCAAAATCCAAGTAACATATATGATGAAGATGATATATTGTTAAATTCTGGTATCAAATATAATGCTAGTGATGCTGAATTAAATGGACATGCAAAAAATATAGGTGCTAAGATTGCTGAAATAAGTTCATTATTATACGATAATGGTACTAAAGATTTACAATTTATCTTTAAATCAGTAGTATATCATACATTCTTAGGATCTGGTGTTGGTGGTAAACAAGCAAATTATTATTTGTTGAATTCAATGTTCTTAGTATATCCATGGTATACACAACCAAATAAAGCACCAAGATTTGTATCAGAAGAT